AGCTTGATCCCAAAATACTAAAAATAGACTACAAATGTCTTTAAAAGGTAAAAGAAAAGTTCAGAAATCCTTACATCTTCTAAGAAAAAGAATGTAAGGTCCACCCATTATCTAAGATTGTGCCCAGGATAACGAGGCTTATGGAGAAGCCACGGAGGCTGACAATAGAAGCCCAACAGTTCTTAGTACTGTCCGAATGTCCCCATCACACATAAAGGAGGATTTGCTGGTGTCTAAGAAAAACTAGTGCACTGAACATGAAATAAAAATTGCGACTAATAAGAGACAAAAAGGATCCCAAAGTAGGGCACCGAAGCTTTGCTCAAAATATTCCTACTTATATCATCAAGTCGTTTTCCCTTTTCTTCAGCTGGTTTAGCAGAAGGCACACCGTCCCTCTGTGGTCTTTGGAAATGAAATGCATTTGTGATCTGAAGTAGAAAAGCTTCCTGTGAACCTAGCTGCCCAAAGGGTCTGGCTCTCCTCCAAGACTGAATTCCAAATCTTACCTGCTTTGCCAAGCACACGCTAACGATGCTGTGTGGAGCAACCGCAACCTGCTGTGGTTGGTGATTTCAAATATATATACAACCTCTTCCCCAAATTAATCTAGGGGGATATCATCTAAAGCTCTGGAGAACACCACACCCGGCACTGATGGACGTTTTCACAGCTAATGCATTGTGGGATTCATCAGCAGCCATGAACATTTTTCAAAACTTTTAACCAACTTTGAAGAAGAAGAATGTGCCGTCAAGTCAATTTTGTCTTAGGGTGACCCTTTCCAGGGTTTTCTAGATACAGGAGTGGTTTCCCATTCTCTTCTTATGGGGATGCCTTGGAGCTGTGCAGCTTGCCCAAGGCTACACAGGCTGGCTCTTCTCTCTGGAGGCGCAGGGGGGAACTGAACTCCCAACTTCTGGCTCAGCAGCCAGAGACCTAAACCACCGAGCTGTCCAGACTGACAGCCAACTCTTAAGCAGGGGTTTTTCCTTTCTTCTATGGCTTAACAGTGGCATAACCTGTCCTGCTGACTAGTAAATCTGCCCAGCTTTTTCTGCAATGCATTTCTTGTGTCATTCCAGAAGAATGCTACGAATGACAGAGCCCTCATTCTGTAAAAAAAAAAAAAAAAGCCCAACAACATGCAATACTGGGCATTGCTATGGTTTTTTAAAAAAGGGTGTGTGAGAGAGAATTCACTGTAACACATATGTAACAAGCTGTTTTTCTTAGATTGGTCTGGCTAAACTTGGAATATGAGGAAGCCAAGGAAATCCAAGCAATTACAACCTCGCCCAAATTCAAAGCTTGGATTATTTTTTCCTAGTGCTTGGAATGTGCTTTTCTCCACCCACTTTTCTTTTAGCTTTGGCTGTTACCATGTGCATTGTATACTAAACAGCTTAAGACAACTTGGCCTTTAGTTTTTAAAAAATTGTAGGCCCTTTCAATCATCATGAGCAAACTTTACCTGGGAGAGAAATTTTGAGGCAGGCAGCTGCGCTGGTGTTTTCTCTCACTGACAAACTTATTTCTAGGAATAATTCTGTTTTAGTTTAGTTTCTAATAGGTGATGAATACAGTTGTCTCTTGTTTAATTACATTAAAGGAGAACAACTCTGTCGCAATTGGAGGAAACTGATGAGAGGCGCTAACCTGGTAATTTCCTTGTTTCAGCCATCTCTTACCGTATTTCCTATGAAGAGAGACAATTGGTTGCAACTCTGGCTACACACCTAACACAAAGGACAACCCATCTAGGGATATGCAAGACATGAGAGACAAAGAAGCAGAATTAAGGCTCAGCACAATCCAGATCATATCTCTTTTTTTGGTGAATTTATGTTCATTAAAGCACCAAATGCTTCTAGTCCTCACCGGTAGAGAAGCCAAGCCTGAAAGCATGTTAACTCTTCACTCACCGACATTGGATCTTTAGGCTTCACTCCTCCACATCAACAGCAAGAGATTGTGGTACTTTCACAACAGAGAGGCACAGAAATTTTCAGACCTGTAGCTCCACAGGAACAGGAAAAGGCCTGTTTTGGTTTTAAACTTCTGTCTGCTTCAGCGCACGAAACCTGCATCAGATCAGCAACCACTCAGTTGTTGTGGGAGTTCCCGTGACACACACCTAAAAGCAATCCTCATCTGAGAGGCTGGGCGAAATTGCACCACATGCCAGCAACTTTATCTCTACAGGCAGAGTACAAGCTGTATTATCCTTGTACTTACACATTCATCCTGTTCTTTGTCTCTCCCTTCATGTACCGGGTGGTGCTAGGCCCTTTACACTACAAGCTCCATTCCGCCATGAGTCACACAGTCCTTACGTTGCCACATCTCATTTGTCCTTTTAAGTGGCAGCACAAGGATAGGAAGGCAAAGTGCTACTCTATGTCAGATCAAACATACACCCATCTAGTCCACCACTGCCTGCAGCTTTCTGACTACAGGATCTCCTACTACTTGTTACCAAAATATATTTTTTTTCAGCTAGAGAGCAAACCTTGAACCTCTTGCATGGAGAATACAGGGCTCAAGCAACTTATCTATGTTACCCCTGAGCAAAAACAGACAAATCTTACACAGAAACCCACTGTAAATGAGGATAAAGGTTGAGGAAATCAACAGCCCAACCCTCTCCCCTTTCAAAGCGGTTGCAGCTTTCCCATCCCGTGAGGTTCCTAGCCCCATAACTGTTTATATGGCCCCACAGTGCCCTTCATTGCCTCCTGCTCCCATTGACATCATAAAAAATGCAGGAGACCCAAATACCCCACCAAGAAAAAAAAAAGACACAGAGTGAAGACATTAGTCCATGACAGATGAGTTAAGAGCACCACATTAAATAATCATCTTAGAACTGCAGAGCTGGAAGGGACCCTATGGGTCCTCGAATCCATCCCTTGACAAAGAGGCACAAGTGGGGAATCAAACTCCCAACCTCTGGCTCTGCAGCCAAAGACCTAAACCACTGAACCATATAGAGAATTGTTTGCCATTGTACTGCCTGACTTCAGACCACTCCTCAAAGGTTGACGGCAGAAAATACAACAACGCCATTCCAAAAAGCCCCAGGTGGGGGGATATGATTGACAAATTGAATTAACAAGGTAGCCCATGATGCCCTTTCCCTGCTTATATCAGAGGTAGAAGCCTCCAGACTTGACAATGACAGTGAAGATCTACAATTTCCCCTGTTTGAGAGAATTCATCCCTTTTTCATCACAGTCAAACCTATTGTTTAGAAGGATAATATACTATTTCTAGGGAAACAGTTGGTGTGTTTCTCAGCAGCTGGGGAACTACAGAGAGTGAAGGCAATTGCCTTCACAACTGGCTTCCCTGGGGCATCGCTTTGCTTCAGTGCCAGGAGGCACAATTCTGGACCAGAAAGTCATTTGATGTAACCGGAGAGAAGCCCTTTCATGTGCCCCAACGCACCGGGTGAACGTACGCTCCCCAAAGAGTCTTTTGATGCTCTGAAGTCTCACAAGCCGGTCAGGCACAATATTTTGAGGACCCACTGATGGCTTTATTGTCACAAAAGGCCATCCTGGACCAGACATCCTCTCTCATTCTGAAATCCCCTCATAGGGATGTTGCAAAGAATAAAAAGTGCAGGATCTAGAACTATGTTCACAGCCCTGGGCAGAAAGTAAAGGGCCATAAATGGAATAATAACGTACAATAAGCAATCAATAAATAAATGGGTTCTTTGCAGAGCTAGTTTTGCCTCAAAGGTTCACCGCTACAGTCAAAACATCAAATACCTCCTACCACCTGAGCCCCAATGATACAAGACCTACAGTTCTTCCCCTTTTGGAGTGGGCCAGTTTCACCCCTTTTTAAAGCGGTTGTGTGTTGTCAATCTCAGATCCACAAGAAGGCCATCTCTGTAAGTGAAAAAGATTCCTTCGGTCTCTGAGTTCATGCTTTCCGCCAGCAACTTCTACGACACGGGAGGGACCCCACATTTCTACAACCGAGTCCTGGGGCACCTTAAAGACTTAACAAATTTGTTGTAACCCAATGAAAGCTGAGGAGGGTATCATCCAGGCGCCACACAAGCTCCATTGTTGTTGGTGCCACAACAAAGTAACTCTGGGCTGGCAACTGTGTCTGAAGAGGGAAACCACACTAAGCTGTGTAGACAGTGTTTAAAAACACCAACAACAATAACAACACACCTCATGGTGGGGTCCCAGCATAAAATGTGTAGGGGGGCCCCCCATCCCCACAGAGGGCAAGGGCTGAAGGGGCTGCCCCCCCAACCCCATTTTATTGGGCTATATAGGGAAGCAAAACTTCCTTCTCCCAGCCCATAATAGACGGAGAAGCCAAAACAATATTGGATAAATATCTTTAGCACCCCTCAATATATATATATATGGAGGAAGGTCAGGATTTCCTGTCCCCCCCCTCCTCAAGAGAGGGCCCTATGCCGAGCCCCCCCTCCGACTCCTTCTCCTTTCCAGGCCCTTCAGGGATGCTGGCTGAGGGGCTACGGGGTCTCCCCCGCCACGTCTCAGGGGCTCTCACGTTCGAAGGGAGAGGCAGCCGAAGCCCCGCCCACCTGCACCCCCCTCCCTTTCTCACCTGAGGAAACGGTTTCCACAGCCGTTAACGGTCCCCGACCGTCCCCGGCTCCCTTTCGTACCCCCCGCCCTGAGCCGGCGCCCTGCCTCGTCCCCTCCCGCTGTACCCTGGGATTTGTAGTCCCCGAAACCCGCCTCGGGCCCCTCCGCGCCGCTGGGCAGGCCGCTCTTCAGGAACCACAACTCCCATCATCCAATGCGCCTCCCTCCTGCCCCCTCCCGCGCCTCACCTCGCCCAGGTAAACAAGTCCTCGCTGGTCCCACTTCCTCTGTGGTTGGTTTCTGCAGCGCTGCCTCTCGGGAAATGTAGTCTTGGGCAGGAAATGCGACGCTAGCAGGGCTGCACCCGGTGGACTACAAGGACCAGGAACCCTTTCGGGAGGGAGGCCATTTTGTGCGTTGCTAGGAGACGAAGACGCCCCCCCCCCGTAAAGGTGGTGGTAGTGGATGAGGGATCAGGTGAGAAGGATGGTTTTTGGGATGTGTTTTTTTCTTTTTGCTTTGGGGAAATTAAATACTGTCTG